ATTTTATTCTATATATATATATATATATATATTTGTAAAAAAAATAATGATAAAAACTTTATTCGATTACATTTCTAGCATGTGCTAGTAACCAATTGGTAAGAAGGCTTCTTGAAAATATACAATTGTCAGGCTTTCTCGATTCGATTAATGAAAAATTAGAAAATCATCCCATTTTAAAGTTTGCAGTATTCGGATCGATTGCTAGCTTTGCTGTTCCGATTGTTTTATACATTGCTTTCGCAATGGCATCACTCGTTATTACATTTGCTGGCTTTGTTTTAATTGAAGGTATTAAAATACAAAATAAATTTTTTTTACAAATGATTTCCATAATAATAAAAATTGTAAAAATTTTTTTGTTTTTTTTTTTTTTTCTCAGGAATTATCTTGACTGCTGGAGGACTTTGTTTGTGTGTTTGCCTATTATCAATGGCCATGGTCATGTCTGCATTGGCTGTTATTTTAGGCATTCTTAATAGTATAGCTACAAAACTTCAGATACTTAATAAAAGTTAATAATAATAATAACTAAATTTTAGTTAAAAAAAAAAAAAAGATAAGAGCTAAGTAAGCACACAATGATTTGAAACCAAAGGTTATTATTGATCTTGTTAAATCAACTTTATATTGTTTACAATATTTTGACTTTATTGTTATTTATAAAAAAATTTTTTTGTTAATAACATAAATTATTATTATTATTTTCTAACAGTGTATAATTTGACTCATTACCATGATATTATTTTTAAAAAAAGGTAAAGTTATTAATTATTAAATGATACATAAAATAATAAATGAGTTTATTTGATTATTACATAAAGTTTCGTAAAAAATCAGATAAAGGATAAATTTAAATTTTTAATAAACACCATGTGAATTATTAATATTTAAAACATATATATGATTAAAAACAAATTAAATATACATATATATATATTTACAAATGATAAAAATCAAATAATTGTTTCGAATTTTAATTTCGGTCATCTATTGAAAGAAACAAAAATTATCGATTTATTCTTTTACATTCATACAAGTTTCTTCGATTTTTTCCCATAATTTTTCTTTACAGCATTTATCATTTTTACTCAAATTAAAATAAGCAAATGAACATTCTGGTGTGTCACTTTCTGAAAATGCAACATCTGAATTTGTTAATTAAGAAAAGTTTTTTTTGCAATTATTTGGTAATTTAAAATGAAAACGATATTTAGATAAAAAGATACATCCAGTAATTAAATCATCAGGACATTGTTCATCGAATCTGACTCCTGTTATTACTTTTAAAATCTTTAAATTATCCCTTAATTAAAAAAAATAAAATTAAAAATTAGTAATTATATAAAAAAAAAAAAAAAATGGAAAATTAAGTCAAGGTAATACTCACTGTAATTTACGGGCTGTTTCACATCGTTCATTGTCAAACGGTTTGGAAGAGCCTAACAATTCATTATTAGTTTTTTCTAAAATAATATTTTCTTCAGAAATTTTTTCACACCGTTCAGCAATATTATGAACTTTGAGATTGGTATTTTCAATTTTACTAAGTATTGTTTCGTATTTATTTTCTGCATCAGCTAAATTTTTTTTTGAAACATCAAGTGATTGTGAATATTTGAAATTATTTACGTCAAAAGCATCTTTGGTTAATTTATCTTGATGAGCAATGGCTTGTTGTAAACGTTCTGTAAAAATTCTACTTTTATGTATTATTTGTTGCACATTTTCCATTTTCAATTAATTAATTAATTATTAAAATTAAAAAAACAATAATAAAAAAAAAATTAATAAAGATTAACTCGTAAATGACGACAAGTGTAAATATACATGTATTTTTTTTAACGTTTTGTAACCGCTTTTTTGTTGCCAACTTAACACCTCACACCAAAACAATGTTGGTAGTTGTGAATTATTCTGTGCGAAGTTTTTATTCCAAGTAAGTTTCTCCAATATTGTTTTTCAATGATTAATAATTAATTACAAAAAAAAATTTTAAATTTTATTAAAAAATATTTAAATGATTGGTGTTGGTGTTTGAAAAACAAAAAAAATGTTATAAGTAAAGGTATAAAATTTACTAAAAATTTAAATAAAAAAAAAAAAAAAAATACTTGATTTATCTTCTGTTACGTAAAACCGTTTTATTTATTTACGTTTCTAAATTTTAAAATTATTATTAAATTTAATTTAAATTTAAAATAATAAAACCCCTAAATAATTTTAATTATTTTAAAGATTTATTAATTATACATTTTAATAAAAAATTATTAATCGTCGTATTCAACGAAACATTTTAGTACTATTTTTTTTTTTTTTTTTTTGTGTTATGTTATTGATTTTATTTCCTGAAGACATTCATTTATTAAATTAATTATTATTATTATTTGTTCCATTTTTAATTTAAATATTTGGCTATGCATATACAAAAATTCTAAAAAATTTTTTTTGATTCATTTTTTATTTGTTCATTAGTAGAAATAAATTTTTTATTTTTAGCTTGGCATCAATCTAATATTGGGAAATATAAATCACCCTTGAGAAGAAATTATTTCAAGATTTTTTTTTACATAATAATAAAAATGGTTTTAAAAAAAGAGTACAGAATATGTATGCCACTGACAGTGGAAGAGGTAACTTTAATTATTTTTACTACAATTAACAGTTTATAATTTTTATCCCATTGAATAAATAATAAATTATTTAACCTACATTCGGATTTGATTTTTATCGTAATGCTTTTACAGTACAAAATTGGGCAACTGTATATGATTGCTCGACACAGCCAAGAAGAATCAGTTTTGGGAGATGGAGTTGAAGTTATTCATAACAATCCTTGTGAAGATCCCATACATGGAAAGGGTCAATACACTGAAAAAAAATTACATTTATCTAATAGATTACCCTATTGGATTCAATCATTCCTTCCTAGAGTTTTTTATGTTGTCGAAAAATCATGGAATTATTATCCGTATACCATAACGGAGTATACTGTATGTTTTTTAAACGAAAATAATTTAGAAAAAAAAAAAATATAATTGGGATGTCATGCAACTATTTTTTGTAATTTTCAGTGCTCATTTATTCAAAGATTTCACATTCTTATAAAAACAAAATTTCAAAATGATGATGGATCAAGTGAAAATTGTTTGGGTCTTACTTCTGAAGAATTATCAGAAAGAACGATTGAATATTTAGATATTGCATATGATGAGATAAGTGCTAGGAAGTATAAAGAAGAAGAAGATCCTAGATATTTTCAAAGCAAGCAAACTGGTAGAGGACCTTTGATTGAAGGTTGGAGATTTTCATCTCAGCCAATTATGTGTTCTTACAAATATGTTCAAGTCAGTTTTGAAGTTTGGGGATTGCAGACTAAAGTCGAAGATTTAATCCATAGGGTATTTATTTTATTTTATATTTATTAATAAATTTCAAAATAATTAATAAAAGAATTTTTTTGTTCATTTAAGAGCATTCAAGAAGTTTTACTTCTTGGACACAGACAAGCATTTACATGGATCGATGAATGGTACGGAATGTCATTAGCCGATGTAAGACTTTACGAGAGTCAAATGCAAAAGGAGACCAATGCCAAGGTAGTTCGTCCAGAAGAAGTAAAAGACGTAGAAGAAGAAAAAGAATCTGAAAATAATATTCCTCAAAGTACCGAATTGGTCGAAAATGTTGATTCACCTAAAGGCGGAAGAAAAAGTTGGTTTTCTTGGTCTTAATGTCAAAAAAAAAAAAAAAAAAAAAATTTATTGTTAAAACATCGTCAATAATAAATAGCTATATGATTTTAGCTAATTCGTTATTGTTTTATAAAAAATTATTCACACATGAAGGAAATAATAATGGTTGACGTAGATATAAAAATTTTTTTGCTTTTCTCAAATCTTGCGGTCGCCATTTTTATTATCATTTAATCGCTTATTCACATTATTTTTGTTTTAAATCTCGAGCTAAACAATAATTTCACGAGTTTGAATGGAAAAAAAATGATACAAGAGTAATTTTTAATTTATGTTTGAGTTTAATTACTCATTTTTAAGATTTTTTTGTGTTCGGTGCTTATTAGAAGATTATAATGCACAATTTATTTGTTCAGATTTTATTTAAATAGAATTTTATGGCCGTTTTTTTAAGAAAAAAAAAAAAAATTATTCCTTTGATTTAAAAATTAATCTGCGATTAATTATTATAGTAAAATTATTTTTTAAGTTAAGTCACGTGTAAATATTTTTACACGTTTTGCTCAAAAAATTTTAAAATTAATTTTAATTTTGTAAAAGATTTCTTATTTTTAATGGTTTTCAATAAAATAATTTATAATTAACAACTGTTCGAAAAAAAAAAAAGAAAATGTCTTGCCTTATTTTTACGGGGGGGGGAGGGGCGGGGGAATTATTACAGATTAAGAAATTTGTAACAAATTCTACAAAAAAAACAAAAAATAAACAAAAACAATTGTTAAATTTTTATTTAAAAAAAAAATTTACTTAATATCTAATTTATAATTTAAAAAATTTTTTATTTAAAATGTTAAAAATATTTTTTTATTGTTTACTTAAGTCGATTCCCCCTCCCCCTATTTTTTTTTTTGTTTATTTACAACTAATAATACTCATTAACAATTATCATTATTATAATTTTAAGTTGACAATTAAAAACAGTAAATGTTTTTTTTATATTTTATAAAAACAAAATAAAAAACGTATTATTATTATTAATTTTAAATTATGTACCTGAATGTAGAAAAATTGCTTAGATTCAGGTTGTTACTTAAAAAATTATTATTATTATTATTATTATTATTATTTTGTAATGAAATTTTCGTTGTTTTTATCGATATAAATTTTTTTTTTTATTATTTAAACTACCATCAAATTAATAAATTCGGTTAAGAAAAAACAAAAAAAAAAAACAGAAAACGAAGTGTTGAAAAAAAAAAAAACAAATTAAACGTTTGTTGTTTGTTGTTGTTGTTGTTGTTGTTGTTGTTGTCATCCTTAATTTAAAATCTTAATAATCACAGCTTTATAAAAAAAAAAAAAAAAATTTTTTTTTTTTTTTTTTTTTACAGTCAGGTTTTATTTAAAGTTAGGCGTTAAGTAGTAGTCGTGGATTTTTAGTTTTTAGAGTCGTATTAAGGAAAAAAAAAATTTTTTTTTATTTTAGTTTTTCTTTTTTTTTATTCGTTTAACTTTTGTAATTAATTTTTTTTTTTTTTTTTTAAATAAATGTGTTAAGTGAAAGAATATTTTTGAAATCAGATAGATAAAGATAGGAAGAAAGAAAGGGAGAAGAGAGAGAGAGAGTGATAAGGATAGAAAAATAACAAAAACAAACGAATAATCCAATGGACGTTTATTTAAAATTATTCATTGGGTGAGTGCAATTTTATATGTGATAAATAAACATTTATTATTATTATTTTGTGTTTGTTTATAGTTTTAATTGATTGTTTCATTCCAGAAAATTTAATTTTTTAGAAAAAAACAAACAAATTTTTGCTTCTTTGTAATTTAATTTTAATTTTTTTTTTTAAATATAAGTTTGTAACATAACAAAAAAATTTTTTTTTCACGTTTATTATTATTATTATTATTATAAAATAAAGTATTGATTATATGCGTTGAATCCTTTAGAATTTTTTTTATAATATTTAACAGAAAAAAAGTAGAAAAAAAGTAGAAAAAACAAGTGGGAGGAAATAAATTTTTGAATAATATTATATTTCCTACTAGTTGTAGTATACAAGAAGAATTTTTTTTTTTTTTTCTATCTATTTAATAACCGGCTTGTTATGCAACATTGTTTATTTATTTATTTATTAATAATTTATTAAAAAAGATTTTGTCAAATTTTTGTTTTTATAAATAAATTCAAGTTACGAAAATATTTTTATGAAAAAATTCTAAGTCAACGAACGAAGACAAACTCATTCACTATAAAAAAAAAAAAGTTTTTCGAAACGTTTTTCACATAAATTTTTTTTTTTTTTTATCAATTTTGCTTCGAGCGTATTTTTTATTATTAACAACTTTCGAAAAAAAAAACAAGCAAGGAAGGAAAGAGAAAAAGATAGAAATAAATAAAAAAAAAAAAAATTTAATGATAAAAATCAATAACCAATCAATTACGTTTGTTCTCATTCGTTCGTTCGTTCATTCATTCATTCATACACTCATTCATTTATTAATTAATTAATTTTTTTTTTTTTTCTTTCTTTTTTTCAGATTTTTTTTTTATGTAATTCAATCGAGTTTTCCGATAAGAGGAAAATCAATATTAAAAATGTGCCAATTAAATGATAATAATGATAATGATAATAAAGGAGAAAAAGTCGAATGTTATATGAATGTTACTAGTTATGAAAAAAATTCAAAACTTATTTGTTACAATGGTTTTATATATAATAATGATAACAGACGTGCTAATATTGTTTTTGCATGTACTTGGTCTAGCCGTGTTATCAATCCGAAAGAAATAGTTAATAATTATCCATTTGCACACGAATTAATATTAAATGATGGTGATGTGAGGGATATCGTTACGGATTTTCCACCATCTAAAAATTTACGGTATTTGTCACTCATTAAATTAAACATAAAAAAATTAAATACAAAAATTTTTTATCATTTGGAAAATTTATTATTACTCGATTTGAGTGATAACAAATTGAAAAGTTTTTCCGGTGATTTGATAAATAATAATTTTCATTTGAAGAAAATTAATTTAAAAGGTAATCATTATTATTATTATTATTATTTAAATTAATTACTCGTGACGAATCGTGTGTGTGTGTGTGTGTGAGCCTTCGTTCGCTTTTCTTTTTCTTTTTTTTTTTTTCTCGGGGGGGGGGCTGGGAGGGGAGAAGGAGGAGGAGGGAGGGGTTTATTTGTTGTGATATTAACGTTAGATAATAATGATTATCGATTTATCGATTATGAAAATAATTTTTTTTTTTTTTTTAATATTAAATATAATCGCGTACTCGTTAATTTTTTTTTTCGCTTTGTAATTAATTTTCTTTCCCCCCTCCCTCACCCTTGTTCATCTTCTTCTTCTATTTCTCTCCATTCCCTCCTCCCCTCCTCCCCTTTGTTTTTTTTTTTTTCGCGGAAAGAAAATTAAATTACGAGTTTAATCATCCACGATGAATATTATCCCTTATCCTCCATTTTTTTTTTTTTTTTTTAAAAAAAATTTCAAACTGGGCTGTTTTATTTTAACGTTTGTTATATTCCCTGAATTTTTATCAATCATTCTAAAACAATGAAGGTTTTTTTTTTTTAATCATCATTTTTAAAAAAACTTGATAATAATAATGATAAAACATTTTTTTAAAATCAAAACCGTAAATAGAATTTTAATTTAATACGCAAGACTGTGTTAATTTTCTATAGAAATATTTTTTTCCGTTTCGTTTTTGCAAATTTTATTAAAAAACTATTAATTGTTCTAAATGGTTAAATCAATTTTTCGAAAAAGAATAATCACATCGTCATGAAATTTTTTTTTTTTGACTAAAATCCTTTATTTACTCTATGAAAAAAATGTTTGAATTCAACATCATTGAAAAAATCAAATCGGTTTCGTCACGACGTATTTTATAAAAGTTTGGTTTTTTCCAAAATATTTTCTTTCTTATTTAAAATCAAATCGTGCCTTTTTGCTCTCCTCACTCCCTCCCCTCCCCAGCCTCCCCACAAAAAGTTTACTAAAATTTTACTTGTATATTTTATGATTCAATTAAATCGCCATCGCCCGACGCACACACACAAATTAGTTAAATTATATTTAACCGTTAAAAAAAAGGCGAAAAATTTTATTATTTTTTATTTTTATATAACCCCGATGGCAAATTTTATTTTTTTATTTTCACTTCCGCTTCCTCTTTCCTTATCCCCTCCCCTCCCCACCCTCTCCCTGTCTCTCTCGCTCTCTCGGTAAAAAACAAAAGGAAAATTTTTACGCAATTAAATTTGTCACATTATCCTCCTCTTTTTTTCATAACTTAATTTAAAAATTTTTAACCTCAAAAAAAATTTAATTTTTTTATTCCGGAAACGACCGATGACGTCATCGACGACTCCGACTCCGTCCTTTTCACATTTCTCATTTCCGTTTCGTCTTATTATTATTATTATTATTAATTTTTTTTTTTGCAGGTAATCCTTGGGATTGTTCGTATTATTTTAATTGGATATTAAACAAAACGATAAATTCGAAAATTGTTAATAAAAATTTTCTCGAATGCGGATATGGAATTTACGCGGGAAAACCAGCGTATTACGTCATGTTATTTATTAAAGTGAGTATTTTTCAAACCGTTCGTTTATTTTTTAATCACGTTCGTTCGTCAAACGTTAAAAAAAATTATTATTATTTAAAGAAAACAACGTATTTTTTCCGTCGCGACTTCGACGCGACAATATGGCGGATTTTTCGGTTAAAATTATGCGGTTTAAAAAAAAAAAACAAGTGAAAAATTATAATTACGATGACGGAATTAAATAAATTATTTTTTTTCTTTCTCTCTCTTACCCACTCTCTCTCTCTCTCTCTCTCTCTGAGAGTTTTTATATATAAAAAGAGAAAACGGACAAATCAATAGTATTTTAAATTGCTT